CATGTCAAAGTCCCTTAAGCATTCTTGTTTGTTGATAAAAAGAAACTTATCTGACCACCAAAACTGCATCATAACTGGACACTCTGGTTCACACCTGTAATCCCAGCACTCTGGGAGACCAAGTTAGGAAGATCACTTGAGCCCAGTAATTTCAGACCAGCATGGGCAACATAGCACGACCCTGTCTCTAAAAAAATAAAAAATTAGCCACAAGCAGTGGTGCATGCCTGTAGTCCTAGCTACTCAGGAGGCAAAAATCGAGATTGTCTGAGCCCTTGAGGTTAAGGCTGCATTCCAGCCTGGGCAACAAAACAAGACCCTGCCTGAAAAAAACAAAAACAAGGCCAGGCACAGTGATTCATGCCTGTAATCGTGGCACTTTGGGAGGCCAAAGATGATGATCAGGAGTTTGAACCCAGCCTGGCCAACATGGTAAAACCTGTCCCTACTAAAAATACACAATTATCCAAGCATGGTGGCACACGCCTGTAATCGCAGCTATCTGGGAGGCTGAGGCAGGAAAACTGCTTGAACCCAGGAAGCAGAGTTTGCAGTGCGCCAAGATTACACCATTGTACTCCCGCCTGGGCAACAAAAGCGAAAACTCGTCTCAAAAACACAAAAAACAAAAACAAAAACAAATCCGTGTCATAACTTTAAGGTAGGCAAGAAACGTTGCTTTCTAAACACACTATGTTCCTCTTCACTCTGGATGCTTAAGTAACCTGATGCCAGTAACACAGGAGACAAAAGGAAAAACATGGGGTTGGAGCACAGACACAAAATTCCAGCAACTATGATTTTAGCATTCACTAACCTCATCTTTTGACTAGCTTGAACACATCAAAGAAACTATTTTGAAAAAGAGACCATAATGAACTACAGGAATCTGGATGTCTTCCGGATTCTAAATGTATTGCACATAGGTAAGGATGAGTAAACACCATAGGACTTCCTCAAACAAACGCACAAAAATGAGTTTTATAATATTTTATTATCAATAACAAACAGCTGCTTTTATGTCTGTCCTGCAGCTGTTAATGAGTGGGAGGACACCCTTGACCCTAACAAGTAAAACAAATTAAGCCTTTATGTACAAGCAAATTTAGAGCTCTTTTAAGTGTCCAAAGCTATTCATTAGTTTAACTGAGGCATTAAACTAATTCTGAATTAACATATTTTAATAACCAGGAACTAAAATGTTCAAATTTTTCTAGTACAAAAAAATTAAATTTGCTTTAGTTATAAAAGAGCTCTGTCAATATACACAAACTATATACTTCAGACATTCACAAAAATGTGAGCGGGAGGCTTATCAAAAGACATTTAATACAATTAGTTTTCAACAACCCCTTGGTGGTCCACATCTACAAAGATATCCAGCCCAACCCAACCCCCCTTCCAAATCCCACCCCCACAGAAAAGCACATACTTACCAGAACTTTTAGCAAGTATGGTTTGGGAATTTTTGTAGTTTTTGTTTGGTTTTTTTTTTTTTAAAAAAAAGGCCCCCAGGGCAAGTTATTTACAGTTTAATTGCCACTGTCAACTGATCTGGACCTTGATCGGGACCGGGACCTCTGGCGATCCACAGATGCTGGAGACTTAGATCTACTTGAAGAACCACGTTTCTGGCTCTTCTCAGGCACGGGAGACCTACTAACAGAACGGGACTTGCTCCGGCTCCGGCTCCGGCTCCTGCTTCTTGACCGGCTGTAAGATTTGCGACTACGGGAACGGGATCGGCTACGAGACCTAGAGGAACTTCTGGTCCGGGATCGAGACCTGCTTCTTGACCTACTATGAAAAAGGAGACTAAATCAGCCTTATTTTAGAAGAGATAAGACCCTACAACAAACCCAATAAATACAACTTTTGACTTTATATATAGAGAGAGAGATACCTGTGCCTTTTGCTGCCTTCAATTAATTTTATTTTTCTCCCATTTATTTCCTTTCCAGAAAGTTTTTCAATAGCATTCTTTAAATCACCATAAGAGGCAAACTCAACCACCCTAAAATGGAAAAAAGCCAGTTTTAAAATACATACATCCTGTAGTCTCACACATTGCACACAGCAGTCTAGGTAAGTCGTTTCTGTGTTCACTCTGCTGTTGCTACTACTGAGTCTCATTTCCTGGTAATACAGCATTAAAAGAGCAAGGTTTTGACACTGTTACACTTTGAGCCAATTAATTGTTGGGGGGGAAGAGCTCCTATGCATTGGATGCTTAGCAGGATACCTAGCCCCTACCCACTAGATGACAACCGCATCTTCCCGAAACAAGTTGTGACAACCGAGTATGTCTCCAGACGCTGCCAAAGATGTGGGAGGAGGGGGGAGGTGGCAAAACTGTCCATGGAGAATCTGCATTCTAATATATTCAAAATTTAAGTCCTCATAACTAAGTTCAAAGTAAAATTTTCAGGATATTTTTAAAGACTTCCACAATTTCCAGTACATACCCTTCATTTAATTTAGGTCGATGTGCATCCGCAAACGTTACTTCCCCAGCTTGCCTCATGAAATCTTTGAGATCCTTAACACAAGATAATTGTGTTAAGCAAAGAAAAAAAAAGGAAAAAAAAAAACAATCAAAAAAAAAAAAAAAAAAAAAAAAAAAAAAAAACAAGACTACTGAAAGAGAAGATGTTAGATAAAGTACAAACATGGCATTTACCACACTTGTATTCTATCAGAATTCAAAAATTATCTATGTCAGGGCACGGAATAAGCAAACAGCATATTGCTTTTAAGCAAAATGCTGGGAGAAATTCAGACTTTAACATTAAGGTAGTATTAGTCTATACTGAGCTCAGTACAAAAGAAAAAAAAACAAACAAAAAAACAACAAAAAAGGAAAACAGTACATATTTTTAAAGTAAAGACTAAAGTAGAGAAATTTTATTTAAAAAAACAGAACATTTACAAGACACCAGTTATTTTGTGCCCCATATGTCATTAAAAAAGTTTACTTTACCTTTATTATTATTTCCCTAGGCTAGTCAAGCAGCAAACCATTAATCGGTCGGAGAAACCTTCATGACATATGCCCGACTGGCTCTTCGCCACCCACTTGAAGGACACTACCCAATCGATGGAAGCCTTTAATCGCACAGCCCTCCCTATTAGCAGACTATTGGCGGATGCAGACATGTTCTACTCGAGCAGTTACCAAGGACCACTTTACTGCGATCAGGATTCCAACGACCACCTAATTTCGTATCTTTCAACTCTTTTCGACCGGACCTCTTATTCGGAAGCGTTACAGGAAGACAGGTCTCAACTTAGGGATCAGATCACGTTATCAACGCTCTGGGATCGCTGCAACCCGGCACTTCAAGGAAGTGCACCGATAACGTCTAGACCGGCAAACACAGATCTAGAGGTGGCCAACTGATCACTGTAGGAGCTGACTGGCAAAGTCAACCAGGCCCAACCAAGAGTGACCAAGACAACGATTAGGATAACCCACAGGCACTCCTCGTCATAAGGCCAACGACACAGACAGGCTGGCAAATAAAGGGTTTAATATTTGGTTAAAAATTGATTTTAAAAAACAAGAAAAATATCCTCAAACATTTACATTTGATCACTAATATTTAAATTCAAAATATCCCCCAATTACATTTAATTAAATGTTTAAAATTACAATTCCATTAAATCCATTAATTTAAGATAAAATTACTTTTAATAAAACAATAAAACATTAGCTACCCATTAACTTTTTTAAAAAGCCACATTAAAATAACTCGAAATTGTATTTCAACAAACCTGCCAGCTGACTCTTGAAGATAAATTCTCAACTATAAGCCGATTTTCTGTTCTTACAGGTGGAGCATTTCTGAGGAAGAAAATTAGTATTCACAATGGAAGAAATGCACTGACGAGCACTTGTATTCAACTGTGATCAAGTCATCAGATATGACAAGCCATTCTAATGACTTCTGCCAACAGTTTGTGTTCTTCTATGACTCATAAAGATTCATCAAGAACAATGGGCTACCATGGGAATAGAAGAACAGACTATACAGGCGAGGCGCGGCGGCTCGTGCCTGTAATTCCAGCACTTTGGGAGGCCGAGGAAGGCAGATCAAGAGGTCCGGGGTTCGAGATCAGCCTGGCCAACATAGTGAAACTCCGTGTCCACTAAAAATAAATGTATAAAAATTCAGCGGGGCAAGGTGGTGGGCCTCTATAACCCCAGCTACTCGAGAGGCTGAGGCAGGAGAGTCGCTTGAACCCGGCAGGCAAAGGTTGCAGTGAGCCAAGATAGTCCGGGGAACAGTGTGAGACTCCATCTCAAAAAAAAAAAAAAAAAAAAAAAAGATTATACGGTAGGACCCGGAATCGTCACTGCTAATAACTCCTGAACCTTAAATGCTTCCCCTACAATAATCGTTCAATGCAGCCATCCACCCTTCACATACCGTCTATCATTTCGAGGTCTACGACTACTAAAACGATCAGAGTACCGTCCTCTGCCTCTTCCACCTCGTGACCGAGCCCTAGCATGTTCAATAGTAACCCTACAAAAAAACAGAAGAGAAATCTCCATTATACACTTAAATTATATAGATCTACTTAGAAAAACATCCCAGCAGACCCAATCTGCGCTATGTCTCAGGACTAACTAGTTACACAAGAGTCTCACCTTTCACTACAGAGTTCTTTTCCATCAAGCTCATACACAGCATCATCTGCATCCCTCGGATCCTCAAATTCCTAAAATGTAAATATAAGACACTTAACATGGCTTTAAAAGAGTATTCTACAACATATTAAGAGCACTGAAATCGGGAGACAGAATGGGAATGGGAGAGTATCTTAACGACACTACCATATAGGAAAACCTAATGAAAGAGCCACTGGAATGGGTTCCAGTGAGCTTCCAAGTTTAAGTTGTTTTCACCCTCAGTAAAATTCAGACACAAAAATGGGTAACATTTTCTGAAGGCAAATATTCTACCTGGGCTCAAGATCAAAAACAACTGCTTATCAAAACTCTACCACTCAGCAGATAATTCACCAAGTTGTAAACACTTACCACAAAACCAAAGCCTCTTTTCAGATCAATATCTCTTATCCGTCCATATCCCTTGAAGAATCTTTCCACGTCCTTCTCCCTGGCCGCTGGATTTAGCCTCCCGATGAATACTCGACAGCCACTCATGATGTCCGGCTAGTATTTTCTATTAGAAAGTAATTCAATCGAGATAACAGCAATGACTGTTAGAGGACTGCCTGATCAAAGAATCAAAAACAAACGGCATAAAATATTTACCCGGTGATATTAAGAACGAGACTGCCAAGAGTACCTCTAATGAGACCAGTCTCCTTGCGGACAAAACTAAATCGCGGCTCGTTTCCAACACGTTCGCTCCCTGCGCCCAGACGCAGCAACCGCAACGCCCACCGCCACCTCTCCAACTGCGCAGCCGCACACTCTCCGCGGCGCTCTGGCCCCCTCCCATCTGCCGCAGTTAGGAAAGACCGAGAAGTGCGGGCGGAGCCGCCCCCGCCCTCCGCAAGGCCAGCCCAAAGGCGGCCTCACGGGGGCGTCACAGCGGGTGGAAGCCGGAATCTCGCGACGCTACAACCGCGCCTGCGCTAACAGCGGCGGGCGGGCTCTCCGCGACCACAAAATGGCGGGGCAGAATCAACAGCAGAATCAGCAGCAGTAGAGCTGCGCGTGCCAAACTCCTTTCTCCCGCCTCCTCCCAGCAACTCCACCGTTCTGGGGTCACTGTGGCCGCCCTCTAGAAGGCCCAGCCGCATCGCCAGCAAAGTCACAGAGAACCGCCCACTACTCAACGGGTCCGGGTAATGAAGACGTTAAGCCTGGCAGGGAGGGGCGCGCAACCGCTGTCAAAACGACCCCAACAGTGACCGCCCTTGCATTTCAATACCCTTAAAACAGAATGCCAAAAGGGAGACGTGCCCCAGCGCCCACCTCGAATCAACTGTGCTCATTATAGACGCCGCCCTCCGCAAAGCAAGCAGCCCCGGCCACTCACGATGTGAGCGGCCATGAAGAAACCTCGATCCGAGAAGGGTTGCCCTCAAAGTGGGCCACTCACCTACCGGACGGAGTCTTTGGCGGCCAAGACCCAGACAGGTCCGTAGTCTGCGACGGAGTCCTCGGCCTCCACGCAAACCAGGACTTCACTCGTCTACGTCTCTCCACAACTGACGCACTTAGCTGCTCTAGCGCTCCACAAAATGGAGGGCGCGTCTTGCGTCACTTCCGGTGACGCCTCTGGGCCTTGGGTCCACCCCCTTGGGACCCAGGGAGGACGGAAGTTTCGCGGGACTCCTGTTTTCTTACCCTGACGCTGCGAGCTACTGACCTTTCCTCCTGCGGTGGGTGGAGCCGGGGGCGGGAACTCGCTTGGGTGCGGCCAGCAATTCCCTGAGTCAGGAGGGACAACCGTTGAAGTGTTGCGCCCCTTCTAAAACCTTCGAGTTCGGTTCGTCATCGTCTCTCCCAGAAGACTCTCCTGAGATAAACTTCACCCCTTCTTGTATCTAAAGTTTTTCTTAGATACCCAGAAGATTACTAATTAGGAGAAACTTAACTTTGCAAAAATACCTGGCCTTTCCTTACCTCACTGCTTGCAATTTAAATTTGCCCTCAAAGCAGGGGAGCTCCTGGATGTTCGAGTTTTTTGTTTTTCTTTTTCAACCATGCCACAGCTGTGTGGTTTAGTTGTACTGAGAAGACTAAGGAACTGAAGTATTTTTTAAATAAGAGTGTTTGAGTGATGAAATGTTGGGAAAATGGGATTGCAGCTAGAAGGCTGTCTTGAATTGAGGCTGGAATACAGATTTCTGCATTTCCGTCACTCTGGGAGAGTGACTGGAAGAGGTTTCTTAAGTTCAAATGGTATTTGGTTAATGCTCCCCTTTCAGATTTCTGTAATGTAACACATGAAAGTTTACAATTCTTATGTCGTGCCTTCAAAGTGGCTGTGTTTGACACAGCCCTCCACATTTAACTCTTGTGTTTTCCTGATAAAATTGGTAGCCTAGAATCTTAGGCATAAAGAAATTGGTTAACTTTGCTTTAATGCTTTTATGTAAAAGCCAGGACACCGCATTTTTGAGAAGTGCCCGGAGTCTAGAGTTGGTGTGCTTGCAACTAGAGTTAAACAGAGAAAAAGTAGTTCAGGAAGGAGAGCAACTGACTATTAACTCAGAACTGAAACTCGGATAGTTTATATGGGATAAGCTTGTCCATTCATAATTACATGTGCAAATAAAAAGAGCCTCAGTGGGTACATGAAATAATTGTAAAGTTAGTTACCTATGATATGGGAGTTAAGGATGGGTTTATAAGACAATACGTATTTATGTATTTGTTCATGTCAGGTCTCCATATGCAAGCCTGGAGCCTGAAAGTCTGAAGTCCTGCTTGCTTTGGCTGATGCCTCCCACCCCCTGCTTGCGTTCGCCATTGTCTCTGATCGCTTCCCCCGACAAGCCCATCACCCAACCCTGCCATCTTAATTGTCCTTATAATAATGTAAATACCTCTCACCCAACCCTGCCATTGTAAGTGAACTCGTGGTCACGTATACTCCTTGCCCCCTACACCCCACCGCTGTAACTGATCTTACTCTGCAACACCCTTGCCCCCAAAAAAACTACCCAAACCTATAAAACCAACTCCTATCCCACTGCCCTTTGCCAATGCCCTTTTCGGCCTTAGCCCACCTGCGCCCAGGTGAATAAACAGCTGTGTTGCTCACTCAAAGCCTGTTTGGAAGGTCTCTTCATTCAAAGTACACATTTTTCAGCAGTTCAATTAAAAGAAAAAAATGTTACCTAGTTGTTGACCTGTTGAATATTGGCATTTTATAATGCACAAATTTTCCCAAACCAGATCTTTTGAGAACTCACTATCACAAGAACAGTATGAGGGAAATCGGCCCCCATGAGCCAATCACTTCCCACCAGGTCCCTCCCCCAACATTGGGAATTACAATTCAACGTGAGATTTGGATGGGGACACAGAACCAAACCATATCACTATTGGACTGTTTCTTACCAATTTTTCTAATAAATACAAATTCATCTTCCATGAGCAGAATTACTCTTCCTCCTATGTGATCCTACAATATTCTGTTTATACCCCTATTATAGAGTCATCACTGATTCATGTATGTTATTCATGTTTTCCAGAAATGCGTAACACAAAAAAGACTGAATATAGACCTGGATTTGCATGAGCATTTTTTTCAGGTCGTCCTATTCCTATATTAATGTTTCAACAAAATGGCTTGGCATCCTTTTCCTAAGACATCGAAATTAGAAGCAAATCTTTAAAGGAAAAAATGTAGAGAAATCACAGATTGAAATAAACACAAAATGTATTGGCATCCCTATTGGAGACTTTTAGCGTAACTGTGGTATGTTTTGTTCATTGCCATCCTGATTTCATCTAATTCAGAAATGAGCAAATTATGGCCTATGGGCCTAATTCAGCCTCTCATCTGTTTTTATATAGCAAATGAGTAGTTTTACATTTTTTAGTGGTTGTTAGGAAACAAGAAGAAGAATTGATAACACATGAAATTTAAAGGTCAGTATCCATAAATAAAAAATTTTTGGAACAAAGCCACTCCTCTTAATTTACTTATTGCCTATATCTGTTGTGCTACAAAGTCAGGACTGAGTAGCTGTGGTAGAGACGATGCGGCCTGAAAAGCCAAAAATATTTATTGTCTGGTCCTTTACAGGAAACATTTGCCGATGAGGTGAGGGAGATAAGAGATTGATTAGTAGGTACAAACATACAGTTAGATATGAGGAATAAAATCTAATATTCAATAGCAGAGTAGGGCGACTATATAGTTAACAACAATGTATTTTATATTTTAGGACAGCTAGAAGAGAGGACTTAAAATGTTCCCAACACGTAGAGGTGATAAAGTAATGAATATCTTAAATACCCTGACTTGATCATTACACATCCTATGCATGTAATAAAATATTTCATATGTCCCATAAATATGTATAAAATGTATCAATAGAAAAATTTTAAATTATTTTAAAAAATCATTTCTGACCCCTGAACTGAGTCCTAGATTTTCAATTGCTCTATGAATGCTCCACCCAGCCCCCTTTGTCACATAATAAAACTGCAAACAAAGAAAAACTGAAAACAGGATTTGATCTTAATTTTTAAAATAAAGTTTGATTTCTATTATAAAAAGTATATATATATGCTTATTACAGGAAAAATGTTCCACAGGGAAATATTGAAAGAGGAAAACAACGCTGTCTCACCAACTCAACTTCTGATTGTAGTTTGCTGTATTTCCTTCTTGTGGATTTTTTTTTCTGTTTAATGTTTTTCTATACAAAACAGTACCTCATCATTTTTTAAAGCATAGATAAGTCTCCCTATTCCCAGCCCCTAAGGGAAAACTACTTAGCATTATTTAACTTTCCCTTTCATGTTTTTCTATAAGAACAATTGTATTTTCAAAATATGAATCATAGTCATAGGTATACTTGGTTTTAAGAGGGGTTCTTAATTCCTAAAACTTAATCATAAACTAAAACTTAAAACTCCTGATCTCAAGTGATCCGCTAGCCTTGACCTCCCAAAGGGCTGGGATTACAGGTGTGAGCCTCAGCAGCCTGACCAACATGGTGAAACCCCAGCTTTACTAAAAATACAAAAAAATTAGCCAGGCATGATGACACGTGCCTGTAATCCCAGCTGCTCAGGAGGCTGAGGCAGGAGAATCACTTGACCCCATGAGGCAGAGGCTGCAGTGAGCTGAGATTGCACCACTGCCCTCCACACCAGCCTAGGCAACAGAGCGAGACTCCGGGGAGAAAAATAAAACTTAATTATGTGCATGTGCATTTTCCATGTTTCTTTGTCTTAATGTTTTATGATCATGAATGTATATTCAAAATTTTACTCTCATTTTCACTTAACATTACACAACTACATGCCTGGGGAAAACATTCATTCTGACCAACTTTTCTGTTTTTCTGAAAATGTCCCAAATATCACCAGATGCTGAAAAATTGCTATCCAAAAGAAACCCCAACACAAAGAAAAAGTGTTACTTCCTTGCCTCCAGCTTATAGTTATAAAGATTTTTTTTTTTTTTTTTTTTTAAAGGTGGGGTTTCACCATGATGGCCAGGCTGGTCTTGAACTCCTGACCTCAGGTGATCCACCCACCTCGGCCTCCCAAAGTGCTAGGATTACAGGCGTTGAGCCACAGCGCCCGGCCTAAAGATTTTTTCAAAGTAATAAATATACTTAAGTAATTTCTCTTAGAAATATATGGGTTTTTTTTAATGTCCACTTTTTTACTCAGGTTCACCTTTATATACCTATCCGACTTATTTAGATTGTTACATTCTGATTTTTGTTGTTGTTGTCGTTGAACTTAGTGTACAATATTGAAAATACCTATGAACTTACTAATACGAGTGGCCTAGATCAGAAGGCATCCCATAGCAAGAAAGCATGTAAGAGAGCAGTGGAGGGCTGAACTCACTTTCATGAGAAACCCATTCTCTATATAACAAACCCACTCCTATGATAATGTGATTAATCCATTCATGAGAGCAGAGTCTTCATGACCTAATCACCTCTTTTTGTTGTTGTTGTTATAGAGATGAGGTGTCACCATGTTGGCCAGGCTGGTTGAGAACTCATGACCTCAGTTGATCCACCCATCTCAGCCTCCCAAAGTGCTGGGATTACAGGCGTGAGCCACTGCGCCCAGCCTACCTCTTTTTTTTTTTTTTAACTTGAAACTTCAACTAGAGTTCCTTTATTAAAAGAACTAGATCAAACAATAGTCTTTGAATGAGAAATTATTTTTCACATCAATTTTACTGCATCACAAACATTTTACAGTACAAGTTTAAATAAAGGAATTTTCTACTTATTAAAAGATTCTTCACCTCCTAAATAGAAATTGAAGTGGAAGCAATGCTATTAAGGATCACACATAAGCTAGTAGTGGCAGCAGAATTATCTATTAACATTCTCATAACACTAGTCTAAGTGACATTAACATTTTAACCACAGAGCTGCAGCTGTTTGCATGTGTTCTGAAGCTAGCATAATCTTTAAGACAGCCAGGGGAAAAAACCCTCAAAACAAATTACATAATATTCTATCTAGAAAAATCTCTAGGAAAGCACATTCTTGGGTGAAAGAAAACCACCCCTTTGTCATTGTGATGCACTGAGAAAAGCTTTGGAGTCTGACAGTTTGGCTCCTGGCTCTCCCACTTGTTTGGTAGGGTTCGAGTCCCTGTAAAATGTGATTATGCTCCTTCTTCAAAGGATTATTTTGATAATTTAATAAGAATGGATGGAAGGGGCCTAGTAGATAGTAAAACCTGATCAAAATATCAATAATTTAATTATTTTCTAGAAGCCAATTGAAACATTATAACATTTATTTTCTTGGTAGACCTTATGAGTTTATTCTCAAAGGCAATTTAAAAATCTCCCTCAGGAAAGCCATGCACCTTTTTATTAATTATGTTTATACTACTAACAATGTTTGGCTAATGATGTAAAAATACTTAAATCATACTAGACACAGAAAAAGAGATGTTTCTCAACTTATGGTAGTGTTGTATTTGACCGGAGCGTAGAAAGTTACCACAAAACAAAAGTATGCCAGATTGCAGGGTCATTTATTTATGCCGGCGACCACAGAGGACTCACGTCTCTCCAACCTGTGGTGGCAACAGGAGGGTGCCACAATTTTTTATACCCGAAAAACCACCTTGGGAGTGGGGGTGAGGGGCAGGGATGGGGATGAAAAGGCTTCAGACATTCCGAGGGCTAGTGGATTCTGTAAATTACCTCCTGGGCAGAGA